GATTTACGCTAAACTAGTTCATTGCATGCCTTGTCGTCTTCATATTAAAATAACTAAAATATATATTTATCATATATATTGATAAATGTTAAAAATATTAAAATTGTTCAGGATTTTTCATCCCTATGTCGTATCTCACTACGCGAGTCACACTTATCCTCTTCTGTTGGAGCACTCTTTCAGTATCGTGTGTGTATTGTGCTTTGTGTTGTGTCTTGCTCCTGTGACTGCGTGTGGCCCTGGACTATTATTTATAGGGCTGAGGTGGCCCTCTGTACAAGTTGAGTTTGACATGCCTGACCTAGAGTGTCGTAAAGTGACTTGTGAAGTGTGTAGAACAGTGACGGCATAAAACTTACTTGTAGTTATAAGTTGTAAGGGTTCAATAAATTCAATTACTGATCCAAACCCTGTCTATAGTAACTCTAAGTTTGTTACAAAACTAAAAAACATGCCTACAACAGCAATACCCATACCAAGAAAAACATGTCTGGAAATAACACAAGTAATACTGTACATGGAACACAACATTTTCTTAACACTTCGCGGACCAGCGATTTAACTATTTAAATCACACTGGGGACCGGCATTTTTAAATATACTACCCTAACTTGTGCACTGTTCACTTTGTGAAGTGGCATTACACGGAACTTGCAAATGTAGACATACTCCTTTTTTTGTGAACTGTGCAAACACGGCATTGCCTAGGATTCTTCCCCTTGGAATGTTCACTCTTCACAATTTTCATGAGGGTGTTCACTCTTCACAATTTTCATGAGGGTATTTTTCGGCATATCACTTGAGAGTTGCCCTGGGGGGTCCACATGAGGCCTTCATGGGGTGGGAGTTGAAGGGCCCGGTCGTATTAAGTCTTTGTGTGACCCTGGTTCTGCCGCCACAATCTGGACTGTAGCCCAGGCCTCTGCCACATTCATCAGAAATGCTTTGTATTTCAATTTTGAATCAAGGTTTAGATTTTTTGCTGTCCCTGCAATGTTACTACGCACAAGGTTATTACCCGCATTATCGTCAGAGCTACTGTCACTTTTACTGTCTGTGGCCACAATTCTTTGTTGTCGCCCTGTCACTGTCACTGTCTGAATGACAATCCATTACTACGCGTCTCACAAGGCAGGTCAGCTAGGTCATCGGAGGAGAATTTGTCCTTGATCCATTCTCCCCACTAGTCACTGGCTGATACACACAGCTTGAAGAAGGCAAAGCATTTTCCTTTACAGTCGGTTAAGTAAACAGCGAGGTCAAGTTACTGACTGTTAACTAAACATTCCAGAGTCTTATCATGCATCTGCAGGCGATTGCGTGCAATGTAGGTGGCGCCAAAGTGATGTATAGTGTGTTGCAACTTACGGTGTTCTAAAAACGTATTAATACGCGACCGGTCCGCCATGTTTAAAAGCAAAAAACATATTAATGCGTGCGCGGTCCGCAAAGTGTTAAGAATTTACATGGTTTCCCACTAAGAGAAACCACATGACTAATTCTGAAACAATACACAAGCAGCAGAAATGTGCTTCACCAATAGATTTACCTGTCAAGACATACTTGTAGTTCACCTGCTCTCTCCTTTTCTCTGAACTCATTCTTGACTGGGGAAACATCCCATGCCATCTCCTGCAACACAGAGCTAATTAGTATGTCAGTGATGATTCTTTATTATTGTACCTACACAGGACAGGGAACTGGACCAAAAAATAATTAAATAAATAAAATTATTAAATATTTTATATATACATATCTAACACCATTGTCTTACAGTTCCTTCACTCATTACATTTTGGCCATAAGCCGTACATAATTCGTGATGGTTTTCTGCAGCACTCAAGTTTTTAGCATGAAGAAAGCTGATAACAGCGTGAATTTCACAGCTGGTGGGATTATCAATCACAGGACACACCATAACTCACTCTGCAGAGACAAGAACAGACACTACATGACCAGTTATGTGAAGGTTTACAAGACACTGAGTCATGTGGTGCTACCCTGCATGTGTGAGCTCTCCCCAGCTCCTACATTAGTTAACTAAAATAAACAGAGGTTACTTTCTGATGACTTTTCACTCTGTTAGAACTGAGAACAGGACATTTATAACATCTACCAAGACTTCATCTGCACTAGCAATTAAATAAACAATCATAAATTGATTAGGTTTAGTTTAATTAAATGATGCTATGTTAGCTTAGGGAGTCAGCAATACTTAAAAGAATCCATTTAAAATAGAGCATACCTTTACTTCACTTGTCTCTGCTTCTGCTGCTACAGAATATTCACTTTTTATATTAATTTGTAAGAAATCATGCACTGAAGATGCAGCGTCTGCCTCTTCATCTGAAGCAGGTTCTACTTTGATTGCATCCATCTTGTGCTGTAATACATAATAATAATTCAATTCAATTTGTGTTTATTTATGTGCAAGCTTAACAGCACAGTGGCCAATTATGAAGTCAGCATGAGTACACAGAAATACACAAAAAATTAAGGAGCAAAATACAAAATATGACAGTCTATACAATAGCAATAAATTAGTAAAAATTCCAAGAAAAAATTAAGTTAGCTTTAACAGGCGAGAAAAATAAAATAAGTTCATTATGCCATTTGTGGTGAGAAACGATAATAATTCATTTCAATTTGTGTTTATTTATGTGCAAACTTAACAGCACAGAGGCCAATAACAAAGTTAGCATGAGTACACAGAAATACAGATATAACTAAAAGGCAAAATACAAATAAGACAGTCTATATAATGGCATTAAATTAATAATTCCAAGAAAAATTAAAGTTAGCATTAACAGGCAAGAAAATAAAATAAGTATATAAATAATAATACCATCACCACCAGCTATCACAATACATGGATCACAATTGATGAGAACATTCTCAATTAGAAATATAAGGAGAACAAAATAAGTTCTAATTCAGAAATACACAGAACACATGTTCATTCCACGCAAATAACAGCTATGATCTGCACAGATAATAATGTACTGGAAAGGTTTCAGAAAACATGCTATTTGAGGTATTATCCTGGCACAAGTCTGGAGGGACTAAGGGGAAATCACAACAAAATGTTCAGTTGCAATTTACTGATATCTGGGGTAAGATGCGCACCTGAGACCTCCTAAATATGAAGAAACAGCACTACTCTTTCAAATGTGTCATTTGGTTCATCACTTAATGCATTAACCTATCATGACTATAATCTGTATTAACAAATACAGATATTTTCATCTATATTTAAAAATATTATTACATTTAACAGATACAAAAATTAGTAACTGGTTATATTAGTTTTGGTTATCTTAACTTAGTTTACTTACACATAACTTAATGTATTTTAACTGAATTAAACTAACATAACCTATATAACCACATTAAAAAATCTGTATCTGTTGAATGTGATAATATTCTTAAATATAAATGAAAATATCCATAATGAATAGGAGCTGGGATAGCTCAGTTGGTACAGTGACTAGTCTATAGGCTGGACAGCCAAGAAGTCTCGGTTCGATTCCCAGCGGAAGCAAGGGATTTTTCTCTTCTCCAAAACATCCACCCTGGCTCCGGCACCCATCTGGTCCCTTATACAATGGGTACTGAGGATTGTTTCCTTGGTGGTAGAGAGGCAGGGGCATGAAGCTGACCACTCACCTGCATCTGGTGCTGAGGTTAAGAATGATAGAGCTACACCCCCACTCCCCCATACATCTTCATGATGTGGTGCTTAATTAATTAAGCTCAGGTTTAACTTCATGTTCATGTAAATAATGAATTTTGTGAAAAGTTCAGAGGTGTATGAAGTTATGTCGGATAAGTGATATATTTAATTTATGATGAAAAACAAAACAACAATCCAAAATCTGGCAGAGTACAGGCATGTCAAACTGAACAACCTAAGTTATTTACATTCTGTACACTGCTATGGTTTCTTGGAATTATTTTAAAAATATACATCTATACATCCACTCCTCCATATGTCTTCATGGAATATTGTTTAATTAGTTAAGCACAGGGACAACTTTACATTTTTATCTACACATTGTTCACACACAACTTCAAGGGGTCTATTTGTTCTGGTATTTTCCAGCATATATTATATTGGTAAAACTGTTCCTTCTGTTGTGATAAGGAAGGGTATATGTGAGAACAGTCCTGGTCTTTTATGCTGTATTTTCCTGGGCTCTAGGGAGAGATTTACTTGCCTGCTTATTGCATATCCACCTTACTTCATCTGTTAACCTGGTTGCCATGGCATTTGACAATCTTAATTTTGTCTTTAAAGACATTGGAGGCATGTTATATTAACTGCAGTTTTCTTCATTTTTGACATAGCTAATGGTACAAAGCTCATATACATTGCTTAGCTTTATATGTCCTCTCTCCTCTTTTACTTTTCACATAAGTCTGTGTGGTAGTTTGGTACCCTGTTATTATCACTTTCTTTTTAACTCTGTAGTCTAGTACAAAATGATTATTATTTGCTGGCACAGATACCATTTTTATCCCACTTTCTTATCCAGAGGAAAGAAAGTAAGTTCATGGGATCATCACGCAATCTGCATGAGAAAAATTTCTTTGACTTTTGGTTTGATGGTAGTAAGTAATAATAAACTGGATCCAGGCAAGTGAAATTTGGCTATCAACATATACACACATCACACACAAAATGCTGTATGGTTTCCTTATGACATCAGTCAACGCAACAGTTCCATATTAAACAAACTACTATATTAACATTCATTTATTGTATGAAGTATTGTTATCATCAGGTAAATCATTACATCAATATGTCACTAGTTATTGGATTGTTTACAGATATGGATCCAGATCAGTTATTTTTAAATTCTGTATTCAGTTTACATTATGATTATAATTGTTAAATTTTATATGATAAAAGATTTGAATTAACATTAAACTTTTAATTTGTAATTCTTCTGATATTGTTTTGAGGTGCAATAAACACAGTACACACAATAAACGAATGCTAATACAGTAGTATTGATTTGTTTATTATAGACCTGTTGCATGCATGCATACAATAAAGATACATGACATGCTGTTTGTAGGCTAAAGAGTACAGTCACAAAACGGTGCAAAACTTTAAGGTTATACGTGACAATTTTCCACAGGAGAGCATGTAATTAAACAATGTCCTTAAGAGAATTAAGCTTAATACAAATGATGAGAATTCAATTCAGTTTTTACTGATCGGTGTCCTAACTTAGTAGCTCAAGGGCTAATTACAAACTGAGCAGAAGAAACAAAATGTAAAAACAAGTGGAGTGAAGACAAAGAAGATGACAGCAGATCTGTAAGACTATAATACTATTCCACGGGAAAGGAGGCTTTGTGAAGTATGCTCAGAACTCAGTCTTAGACATTAATCAGACTGTTCAGTTGAACGCTATATCAATATATCACTGAATGTATAGATCTTATATTTACCTTTTGCTACCTATACAGAAGCTATGAAACTGTTATTATTGTCTGTATTTTGAGTATCACACTTTCACTAAAAGTATTCAGAACATAATCAAGCAACCAAGCACAGCACTAATTTTCAAGTGCGCCTATCACATACTTTTTATTATTAATTCTCATATATGTACGAGTGTTGCACAGACTTTAGTGCTGAAATATTTTTTGGAACCACACAAGAAATCAGAAGCAACAATCCTTTCGGCATGCAGTAAATCAACTCAATATGTAAGGGCTGTTTTACACACTGAATGACTGATATTTTTAATACATTTTGGAACATACATATAAAATATTATTTAAAATCAGAAGTGGCCACAATTTTGTCTTTTCCATAAACAAGAAAACAAAAGGGTTTGATAACCTAGATCTCTAGGTATATCAAGCAACGAATACTTACTACTCTCAAAACTCAAATTTTCAGCAAGCACATCTACTTAATTTAAGAAATAAATCATTACGCTCATCATTACATGCTCACACCAGCCTAATACATTAATCTGTCACTGCTACTTGGATGCGGGTGAAATTGGCAGGAGATACATGGATCGCTATTAAATCTTAAATTTCCCAACCGGGCAATCCAGGCAGGTCCAGACCAGCCCCGTGAAACTCCCATGTTATTAGTTACTATAGGAATCTGACGATGGTGTATAACACTCAGTTTCCGAAACGTCGTGTTTTTCTTAGTTATCTTAAAAACCAGGACGATGGATAAAATCCGAAAACCCAATATCTGTCCCCCATTTTATTGGTTTTCAATATGGCCACCATTACACCTCGGGGCAATGCTGCTGTCATCTATTTTCAGCTTACAAGAACTAAATTTAAATTGGCCTCCACGTCCGAGAGCACATTCGGTAAGAAGGTATGCTACCTTGCAGCTATTTTGAGTGCTACCCTCTTGCCCACCGCCCTTTCAATTCCTTTTTTCGCTTCTTGCAAAAAATACTTTCACAACCACATCTCTTGTATTTCAGTCTCTCTTTCCTTCTGGCGTTCCCACTAATATCCTATATGCATTCCTCGCCTCCCCCATTCGTGCTACATGCCCTGCCAACCTCATCCTCCTTGACTAGTGACAGTTTTGAACTGTGTTCAATATCACTAGTCGAGGAGGATGAGGTTGGCAGGGCATGTAGCACGAATGGGGGAGGCGAGGAATGCATATAGGATACTGGTGGGAACACCAGAAGGAAAGAAACTACTGGGAAGACCAAGGCGTAGGTGGATGGACAATATTAAATTGTATCTTAGAGAGATAGGATGAGATGGTATGGATTGGATTGATCTGGTTTAGGTTAGGGACCAGTGAAGGGCTCTTGTGAACACGGTAATGAACCTTGGGTTCCATAAAAAACTTCAAAATAAAGTAACCTAAATATAATACCAAAAAATATAATAGTTATAGTGTCATTATTCCGTCTTCTGGAATTAAGCAGCAGAAATTTCTCTACTAAAGGTTACATCATCACAGCTACACTTGGAAAACAGAATTCATCACATGAACGTGAGATGGGAATCAGAAGAGCAAAGACTTTGACGTATGCAGCCTAATTTTTAGAGCCCAATATCTTTATTATGCAAGGAATATCATAACATCATTTTTGCAGATACAAGGCACATTAAAACTATGGGTTGAATCCAAATATGTAACACTCAGACACATCTTACAACTATTTTATCCAAATACACAAGAAAAGAAAGATAATTTTTCCAAAGTTATGACACAGAGAAACATGTTCTATGTAAAATATTATAACACTTATTCTGAGTCATCAGAGTAAAATTTTCACTAAGAAATATTTTGTATTTCTAGACACATAAACATGACAAAAACGTACTTACAGATTCAGTGTATCTTTTAGCTCTAATGTGAGAACAGATTTGAGCAGTAAGTTTGGTCTCTTTGCTTCGGTTCAGAACTGAGAATTTTCTATATATCCATGATAAACTTCCAGCCTCAGTCAGCTCTCGTTTCTTGTTGTACTGTGCAACCATCTGATGAGCACTGGAAAACATTAATTCAGACAGGTGATGTTCTGTGACTTCCAGGTAGTCTTGTGGAAGAGTTCCCTACAAGAGGACCATTTCACAGATACAACGAAATTTCCTGGCTTCAGTACCTGGCAGGAACAGGGTCTTTCCTCTTCAGTCAGACTGCCCACTCTGCCTCTAAGGCATATACAGCTTTATTCATTCATTCATCATTCATCAGTAATCTGTCAAGACGACAGGTCCACAGTCTCTTCCAAAACAGTTCCTCCACTTGATGCGATCTAGAGCTTTCTCCTTCAAATGAAAATATCCCATCCAGCATCTTCTTCCTCATCTTCTGGTCACTTTTATCTGCCCCTCTATCTTTCCTTCAATAACTTCTTTTAGAAGGCAGTTACCGCATAAGATATGACCAATCCAATTAGCCTTCTGTTTTCTTATTTCATGTAGGATATTCCTCTGCTCACCGACTCTAAATAACACTTCTTAATTTCTCACATAATCGGTCCACCTGATCTTCTCAATCCTTCTCCAATACCACATTTTGAAGCTTTCCAGGTGTTTCTGATCTACTGCCCTAAGTGTCCAAGTTTCAGCCCCATACAGAGCTATGCTCCAAATGTAGCATTTCACTAGTTTCTTTCTCAAATATAAGTCCAATTTGCTAGTAAAAAGATTCTTCTTCTTGCTAAATGCAGCTTTTGCCATGGCAATCCTAGATTTAATTTCACAAGTACACCTTCCATCATCTGTTAACAAGCCACACAAATATTTAAAACATTTCACATTTTCCAGTTGTTTTTGGTCTATCTTTATTGTGACTGGGGATGGTTGTCTCAAAATTTTCATTACTTCTGTTTTTTCCACATTCATTTCCATGCCACAGCACTTTCCAATTTTGATTAGTCTATCAATCATACCCTGTTGCACAGTTTCTTCCTTAGCCATTAACACAAGGTCATCTGCATATTTCACAGTTTGAATAATTTGCCCTCCTAATTTTAAGGCTCCAAGTCCATCCAGAGCGTCTTTGGTAATGCATTTGCTGTGCAAGTTGAGCAAAATTGGTGATAAACAGCATCCTTGTCAAACTCCTCTTCCAATCTTCACGCTTCTTGTCTCCCCTCTGTCCAGTCGCACTCTAACTTTCGGATCCATGTACAATTTACTAATCAATTTTCTTTCATGTCAATCGATACCTGTTTCCTTTAGGGTCTGCATTAATTTGGTCCAATTTACATGGTCAAATGCCTTCTGCCAGTCTATAAAGCAAGCACACAGTTCTTCATTTATCTCCAAAGTTCGTTCTGCTATAATTCTCATCATCCCAATTGCATCCCTGGTTCCTTTTCCTCTTCTAAATCCAAACTGATCCTCTCCAAGTATATCCTCTGTTTTCCTTTCAATTCTTCTTTTATATCCAACAAAATTTATTTCAAAGCCAACTGTGACTTTAACAGTACATGAATGAACAAAGCATTTTTACGTCAAGACATCTGATCTGTTCACATAAGGAAAAAACCTACAGTATGACAATTCAGTCAAAATTAGTTGGTCCTTTTCAGTCATGCATGTAGCTCACATTCATATATCACAGCTGGTTTCATTAAAACTGAATAACCAAAGACAGACTTTCATCCGAAGTAAGAAGAAGAAAATGTTGAAAATCAATTATTTTGTATGGTTTTAGAATATATCTATATAAATCACATGCAATAGAAATCTGACCTCTACACACCAGCCAAAACAGTCCAAGAAGAAATATGATCAGTTCATTGATAAGGAAAGCATTAATACACATTTGCTACCATACAGGCTTGTCTCATGAAATGGTCTAGACTTGTATTTGGAAGGTGACCACTCTGAATCTGGCTGGTATACTAGCCACCCCAACTGAGGCTTTTTGTGATTTTCCTCATTCCCGCCAGGCAAATTCCTGGATAGTACCCTCGATTAGGCTATATTCCTTCCTTCCAAATCTTTTCCAGTTTATCATTCATCTATCATCCTATCATCTGACACTATACAATCTCAATACTGAGAGGATTATTAAAAATATAGAGCCATTAAAACATTTTGTCAATTAAGAAACGAAGACACACCACAGAACTGACTGGCACAGGGACTCCGATCAGGTTTGCCATTAGTGGTGCAACATCTGCCTGACTAACATCACCGCGAGACAAACGTCCCAGTCTCCAGGAAGCTGGACTGGAAGGTTCAGCGCTTGTAGTCAATCGGAGTCCTCTCACACCTGTACCCCAGGCAACCAAGGGTGTGTCTGTCTCATTCTTATCACCTGCTCCATGGGAACCTACAAACACACATAAAATTGCCAGCACCTCCTGGATAAATTCAAGGAATGTGTGAGATCGAAATTGCTGACAAACATTCGATCAGTTTACTTATCTGTTATTTACTTAAAGTTCAGGATGAACAGCACTACATTATATGATGATTCCTGAATAATGAAGAGACTAAATTAAAAATAAAAGGTTTTGAGGAGTTCGAATTAGTCTACAGGTAATAGTCCAGAACCTCCTGAACCACACAATGTTACATAATCTTGAAACTGACAGCATTGTTATAACTCCCCCCCCCATAAATCAGAAAGGACAGAACAAGGACATCGAGATGGGCACCGTATGTCAAATTTTATGGAAAGAGACCTAATGGATAACCCACAAAGAGACAGGTTAGCTAGATTTGAAAAATGGGAAGGGAGGAAAGAGCTGGCACAAGATCAAAAAGCAAAGGTGTTGGGAAAACAAAAAAGGTTGGAGACTTCTTGCCCATTGAAAGGGATAAGAAGGAAATGATACTTGATGATGAAGAAAATATCCAATTTAGTCATTTTTTTAGAATGTTGTATTTCAGCACATCTACCAATTTAGGATCTGCCATCCTTGGTGCATTTATGTTTTCCTTACATTTGAGGAGATTATAATCTCCTGGGGTGAGGAACGCATTATATGCTTTCTATACAAGGGATCATTGTAAGAATTCAGGAATGGATATCCATTCCTGAATTCTTACAATGATCCCTTGTATAGAAAGCATATAATGCGTTCCTCACCCCAGGAGATTATAATCTCCTCAAATGTAAGGAAAACATAAATGCACCAAGGATGGCAGATCCTAAATTGGAAGATGTGCTGAAATACAACATTCTAAAAAAATGACTAAATTGGATATTTTCTTCATCATCAAGTATCATTTCCTTCTTATCCCTTTCAATGGGCAAGAAGTCTCCAACCTTTTTTGTTTTCCCAACACCTTTGCTTTTTGATCTTGTGCCAGCTCTTTCCTCTCTTCCCATTTTTCAAATCTAGCTAACCTGTCTCTTTGTGGGTTATCCATTAGGTCTCTTTCCATAAAATTTTAGATACGGTGCCCANTGGTAAGCTTGAGCAGGCCGGAGTTTATTTAAATGCCCGCTGCTGGTGCGCGTTTAAATGCCCGTTGCTACTCTGTGTTTAAATGTCCGTTTCTGTTAGTGTGCCTAAACAATTTAAGCTTTGTTACAATTAATATTTTGCTGGACATTATCCATCATCTTGTCTATTCTAAAAAACAGTCTAATTTCTATTATTTCTAATTTCTATTATATCTTCAATATTTCTTAGCTCCCACAGATGATTTTGTTGTGCTTGTATACCACAAGGAGTATTGCTTCTCTCCCGGTATGATTTCATTCTAGATATTTTTCTCTGGTGCTAGCCTCAAATTATGATAGCTTCAATATCTCTTAGCTCTCACAGATGGATTAAGTTGTGCTTCTTTTATGAATCCCTTCGGAAATTGGCATAGTTGTCCGGAGATAGGGGCTAGCTCTGTCTATTGGACCCAACTGAGTAGGTTTTACCTGAAGACGGGGACAGATTCCAGTTCCCGAAACGTTGTGTTTTTTAATAGAAATTAGACTGTTTTTTAGAATAGACAAGATGATGGATAATGTCCAGCAAAATATTAATTGTAACAA